AGGGGGTAGCCAATGGCTAATCAACCACAAAGCTGGCCGAATTATAATCAGCCACTAGCAAAAAATTAGCCACCAGTGGTATATCAGCCAAAACCTTTGGTACTCGGGGGCAGTCGATGGCCAATCAGCCGCAAATGGTAAATAGCTGCTAGTAGTCAATCAGGATCGACTGGTCGTTGATCATCCTAATTAGCTAACGACGGTCGATAATGTTCAGGTGGCTAATATTATTAAGCAAGAATATGGTAATGGTCTTAAGAGAATAGGCCGACCAATGTACAAAAAGCCAAAATTAGCCACATCCAACACTCGAGCATTTATCGTATCGGCTAAAAATGAAGCGGATGATAAAGTCATGGGGGTCGACAATGATCTTTTCGTAACAGGTAGTAATGTGATCGACCAGGCCCCCAAAGGGAAGGTTGATAAAGGGAATCAGCCTAAGGTTGCCGAGAGGACACTATCAGCCATTCCAAATGTAAAGGCTCTCATACAACACGGTTGCTGCCCTGAATGGAAAGGATCAAATCAGCCATATTACCAGAATGCTTGGCCAAGAGTGGTATCTAATCCTCAGCCAGAACCATCATTGGCTAAGAGAATTCTTTTACCTCTTTGACCTCAACCGAATTTCAAGAAAAGAAAGCGGCAATGGAAATTAAAAAATGTTAGGTTAAAGAGAAATCTGTGGAAGAAAATAAATCGGCCATTTAATGAAAAAAAAAAAAACGTGGCCGATACAGTGCTACATGAAGAGAATCTTATTTTGTTCAAAAGAACAAATAAAATGGGGTGACCAGTATGGGCCACAATGAAAAGAAGTCTGGCTAATGGGTTAATCAGAAAGATATTTTGGTCGAGGATAATGCTTCATCGGCCAGCTGTTGAGGTGCCAAATAAAGAATTAAGGAGGAGTTAGACAATTATGGCTGCTGACATTCTGAAAGCTTACTCGGCTGAGAAAAAATAGGCCACAAAAGAAATATTATTCTTGGTATTTCCAGCTGATATAACTGAAATCATTAAAGAAGATGAATATTCAAAAACATGGGATGACGTGCTTTCAAAAGCTCTATGGGAGTATAAAAATTCAAGAGGATCAGCCATTAGAAAAGCTCCATACTGGCAGAATATTATTCTTCCAATAGAGAAGTCAGTTAGATCGACCCAAATGACATTACATAACAACTTGATCCCTACCGATCACGATTATACCTTACTAGTAGAATTAGGAAACTTCAATGGTGAGGTTTATCATGGATTTATAAATGGCCGATACCTTGAGGGGTGTCAACCAGCTCTGTAGGAATAATGGAAGAACTAGGATCGGCCAGTCCTGGCTGACGCAAAATAAAGACCAACTTGAGGTGGTCTGGAAGAAATAAAGTTTAGAAACTCGTAAGCTGCCAGTTTCTTTTCAATACATTTTAAACTTCCAAAAATCTTATCAACCTGAGTGGCCGATAAGACATTTAAAATTTAGGGGGCATTTGTTGGCACCAAAAATTAGCAGCCATCTCAGCGATGACGTGGATGAATTAAATAGTGATAAGTGGCTTTGACATGGCACCAAAAGAAGGTCATTTTGGAGATAATGTGAAGAAATAAAATGGATTGCACTTGGGGCTGCTATAATTTTGGAGATATGGTTGCCAAGTTGACAAAGAAGTTTCTATATTTAAGGAGCGTAAAGTTGACTTATTCAAATAAGGTAATATTGTGTCAGTAAGAGAAGTAAGAGAAGTGTAATAGGCCTAATATATTACTTCAAAATAGCAACTAAAGGCTCAGTTAAGGGGAGTCAAAGATAAGGGATGGCATGTGTCATGCAAGGAGCAAATTAGGCTATAATTTGTTGGCCTAATTTAATTTCAAAAAGGAAGGAATCAAGGGCAGCAGAGATTTTATAGCAAAAAGTTAAGAAAATCAATTGAGAGAAAATTCTATAAATAGGAAAATTTGTAATCTTTCCAAACCGTTAAGCACCACCCACAAAATATGAATCAAAATTCATTCAATTGACTCTACGTTATCTTATCAAATTCTTTATTTTTTTTGTCCAAATGTCAATTTTCATTCAAAGAAACTAAATTTCAGTAACTTACTCTTCTTTTGCAATGCTTTAATTATGTTATTTACATTATCAGTCATTTGTTTCATGCAAACGGATTCAATGGCCAATCTGTGATTAGATTCACGTCATGTTAATTCGGCCAGTTTATTTCATTCATTTATTTTCCATGCAATTTCCATTCTACCAGTTTTAATTATGCTATTTCAATTCAAAATGTTTTAAATTCAATGGCAATTGATTAAATTCTTGTCATTGCATTTTGTTGGCAATCACTTAAATTTTTGTCACTGCATTTTGTTTTACTGCATTTCTTTCGGTCAATTTCCATTCTGTCAGTTTTAATTATGCACATTTCAGCCATTTTTCTTTACAGTCAATTTAAATTCAGCCCTTTTCATTCTAATTTTCTTTAGTCATTGCATTTTTATTTATTTTAGCACCTGGATAAAAAGTCCTTGCATCAAGGCATAAAAGAACCTTGCTGGGAGTTCTTACTAGTCTCTCTCCAACACAATTGCCTGAAAGTCAGCCATAGAAAAAGGGATAGGCTAGTGTTCATTTTATAATTTTGGGTATTTTATACAAATATTCTGACATGCCCGCAAAAATTCATCGATCTGCGTAAGACCAAAAAACTGCGCGAACAGGGTGCAATTGTCTCCACTAACTGTCAATGATATGACCATCTTCAATAATTGGTGCATGGCTGATGGCCCTGTGGATCGACGGCTGTGATCTTATTGTCTTTTGTTGACATAGCCATCTATCTGGAGTCATTCAGTTTGGACTGTTAACAGGGACTGATACCTAAAGAAACTTAATTCTTCTTTTTGGACTGTAACAGGTATTGATTACTACTCTGTCTAAACTTTCTCTATAAATATACAGGGCAAAGTTGTCTCTACACTCCAGGACAAAAAAAAAAAAAATGTCTCTACATCCACAATCACATTCTTTGTTCTCTGTTTCTCCACTCTGCACCGAAGAGGCATGCTAACTAAAGTTCCATCTCTATAGAAGTATATCCCCAACACTGTGAGTCTCTTTCTCTCCTCTTGCCTTCCCCATGCATGCATTTTTTATTTTTATTTTGTAACTATATATATATATATATATATATATATATATATATATATATATATTTAATTATAAGAAAAGAATGTAATATACAATAATTATCACTCAAAGTCTCAGCTAAACAAATTTTAATTAATTATGTTCGCACTATATAAAAAAAGTGGAGGGCACCAACGGGCCATTGGCCTAACGGTATCAGCCTCTTACTTCCCAAAAGGATGTCCGAGGTTCGAGTCTTAAAAGAGATATGTGTGTGTGAGTATCACCTAGGAAAAAAAAAAAAAAAGTGGAGGGCTCTATTTGTTTTTTTTTTTTACATATATGTTCAATTCAAAACTTTTAAATCACTCAATTCACTCTAACTGTTGATAAGGCCTTAGTAGTCTAGTGGAGTGCATCTCTCGTATGGTGCTTGGGAGCCAAGTTTGCACCTTCTCATCTCCCCCTCCCCCTCCCCCTCCTTGCCCTATGTAAAAAATAATAATAATAATTAAAATAATTAAAAAAAAATCACTATAACTATTGTTTTCACTAAGATAATATTTTTGGTATTTAAAATGGTTTGGGTTACTCTCACAGAAACGGCGTTTTCACTTAAGATAATATCTAATTCCTCTTGACAAACCAAAGATATTTTTGTGTCCTCTAGTGTTGCAAGCCGCCTCTACGCGTTTACCAGCTGTCTCTCTTTGGCATTTAATGCAAAAATAACATTTTCATTCTAACATAAGATGACATCCATGAATTGATTGTGTTTGTGGTTTGCCAGTGTTTATAATAACAATTCATGGAGCATAAGTAATAACTCTCTTCCCCATTTTCACCCTAATTTTCATATAACATTTCATGGTTTAGAAATAATTTTTATATTACATGTAATTAGAATACTTGCAATGCGATTCATGCACCTTGTTTTCTTGCTAACATGAATATGGAGGGGTTGCTTTTCGCTGTGAAATAGTTATGCGTTTTATAGGGGATGCCTATCAAACAGCCAAGCCTTGCTCCCACTTAACGCCACTAAAGCGAAATAATTAAATTACGCCTTCTCAAACCAGCTATTTGGAAACAATACTACTAAACTGCTATTTTGGTCTTCCCAGAATACCGTTATACCATTTTACATATAAACACCATTTTTTTCCTCTTTTGGTTAGAATACTTTAATCATTTTAGATCTGTTTTTTTTTTTTTTTTTTTTTTTTTTTTTTTTTTTTTCTTCAAATACATACGGACACTTTAGTCTTGTAATTACTCTACTGACAATATGTCCTTGTTCACAATAAAAAATAAAGATTATGAACTTTTAAGAATTTACAGGGACTTATATATCGTATTTGCATACCATAAGGGCAAGGGCGAATCTAGTAATTATCAATGGGGGCTAATATTAAACAAAAATTTAAGTGAGGTCAGATGCTCTAGTTGCCCTTCCCTCTCCAAATGCAAGTTGGGATGTTTTCTGATCTATCAACCGAAAAACTTAGAAGCCTAGCCGTTCATACACATATATATATCTATACCAGTTGATGTATTACGAATTTAGGGCTTGTTTGGCTTGGCCTGATTGATGAAATTATAAGGTTTTAGTTCTAATTAACAACAAAGAGTCGATCCAAATTGAAATAAGATTCAAAGCTTTATATTTTATGTTATCCAAACTGTATGATTATTTGTCAGACTACTAAATTAATCACCTTATATGTGCCATAGCAAGCAAGCATAAATCTGGATAAGTGATGATGGAGTTCCCAATCCTGTCCTTCCTAATTCTATTCACAGTCCTACTGTTTCTGTTCATGCTATTGAAAACCAAGACCAGTTCTTCTCCAAAACTGCCTCCTGGGCCATGGAAGCTACCTTTAATAGGAAACATTCATCAATTTGTCGGATCTCTACCCCATCACCGCCTAAGAGATTTGGCGATGAAATATGGACCTCTGATGCACCTGCGACTCAGACAACTTCCTATTGTTGTGATTACTTCAGCAGAATTTGCCAAAGAGGTGAGGAAAACACATGACATCATTTTTGTTAGCAGGCCTTTTATTTTTGCTATGAATATCATATCTGGGAATGACATTGCCTTCAAGCCTTATGGGGATCACTGGAGACAACTTTGAAAAGTTTGTATACTAGAGCTTCTAAGTGCCAAGCGTGTCCAATCATTCCGACCCATCAGGGAAGAAGAGGCCTTGAATTTGATCAAATCTATTTCGACCCATATAGCTGGATCTCTCATCAATCTCACTGAAAAGCTTTTCTCCATGACATACAACGTTGTTTCTAAGGTCGTCATTGGTAAAAAATTTCATGGTAAAGAAGAATTCTTATCACTTATCAGGGATACTATGGAGGTAGCAGGAGGTTTCAATGTTGCCGATCTCTTTCCTTCAGTTAAAATACTTGGTTGGATAAGTGGGCTGAGGCCTAGAGCTAAGAATATTCATCGAAAAATTGATGAGATATTTACTAACATTATTGATGAACATAAAGCTAGAGATGGTAAGGTTGATTGCGAAGATCTGATAGATGTACTTTTAAAAGTTCAGGAGAAGGGTAACCTTAATATCCCGTTAACTATGACAAAACTCAAGTCAGTTCTCATGGTTAGTACATTTACTTTTTGCTAATTCAATTCTATCAATAAATTAACTTCCACAAATATTTACTTTTACAGTATTCTCTACTCTTAATTCTAACTCAATTTCAATACTCTTTCAGGACATATTCACTGGAGGGATTGAGACATCATCCTCAACTGTAATCTTTGGGAAATGTCAGAATTGCTGAAAAACCCAAAAGTTATGGAAAAGGAACAAGTTGAGGTGAGACAAGTTTTAAGTAAAAAAGGAGATATTGTAAATGAAGATGATATCCATGAATTGAGTTAGTTATCAAAGAAACTCTGAGGTTACATCTTCCTAGCCCTTTATTAATTCCGAGAGAAAGTAAAGTGAGATGTGAAATCAATGGATATGAGATACCTGTGAAAACCAAAGTCATTGTCAATGTATGGGTAATTTGTAGAGATCCTGAAAATTGGAGTGATCCAGATGGCTTTCATCCAGAAAGATTCATCAATAGTTCAGTTGATTACAAGGGGACTCATTTCCAATTTACACCATTTGGTGTTGCCAGGAGAATATGTCATGGCATATCGTTCGGGATAGCTAATATTAAGCTACCACTTGCTAATTTATTGTATCACTTTGACTAGAAACTTCTTGAGGGGTAGAAGCCAGAAAATCTAGACATGACTAAGATATTTGGTTCAGCAATTAGTAGGAAAAGGGATTTGTGTTTGATTCCTGTTACTTATCATCATTCAACTCGTGAGTAAGATATTAAGACAAGGAGGTAGAAAGCATTGGATGGTCACATTGAATTTCCAATTTCAGTGTGAGCCTCCATGTATAACAATATAGATGAAAGGTAAAATAAGAATCGGTGTTATATGGACTTCCATAGATAATTGAATAAAGAGTATTGTTCCTTTTTGGTGTTTTTATTGCAAAGTTTTGCAAGTGTTGAGATTTCAAAAGCTTAGCTCTTTGATAAGTTCAATAAACCTCTAAAACACCTTTTTTTTTTTTAAAAGGCCATGGGTCAAAAGCCATAAGCTTTCCTTACTAATTTTTGGATTAAAAAAGATTTAGAGTTTTATAAATGTAAATAAATTTAGAAAAATCTTGTTGTGACGGGTAGGGTGTTCACCTAAAAGGTTAGATTATTAGGTGGAGTTAATACCCAATCTCTTTATATGTACCCATTAAATTTCTCATCCGAATCCGATATGGGACAAATTCCACTTGTAACAATATTCTCCCTTGTACGAACTCGTAAGGCCCTCGTTTTTATTTAATAGAAATAACCTCCCTTTTTTATTTTTTTTCGTCTTATTAAAAGAGATAATTTTTTTCCAATCCTCCTTTTTCTTTTTCATTTTTGTTCTTGACAAAAGAGAGAATTTCTTCAATAAAGATATTTTTTATTTGGATTTTTCTCCCGTCAAAAGGGATAATTTATTCATTAGAGATATTTTTTGTTATATATATATATATATTGGTCCTCTAAAAAAAAATAAGATATATATATATATATATATATATATATATATATATATATTTGTCTTGTCAAAAGAGACCTAAAATATTTTAGATTAGAGATAAATAGAGAAATTTGAAAGGATAGTTGTGTTATTTGAAAAAGTTATAATCATTTACTTATAAAATTAGGGTTAGAATTGTCATTTCTTCTAAGAATGGAGTGCAAACGTAAAAAAAGTGAAGTACAAAGTATCATCTCTCGTACAAAATTATTGCTATCTTATTTCAATTGCAATCTAAAATATAAGTGCAAGGCTATTAAAAGGGCGCCCTCTTTAGTATACTATCTTATTTCAACCTTAGTCACACAATTCGTCCAAAGAGGCCCTGCTATCAAGCTCAGCAGGCAAATTTGCGATTTGGGAGCAAATTTGCACAAAATACGTGAATTCAGTTTTTGCAATTTACGAATTTGTTTTCTTAATTCGTGAATTTCATACGAATTTACTTTATATAGCTAAATTTGTTAGTCTCACTGATATGGAACACCTATATTACTATATATGCATTTATTACTTATTACTCAATATATACATTAATTACTTAAATTTCAGTGTGCCCTACCTGTTTGGCGTTGCTATACTACCATATATATATATATATATATATATATAAATTATACATGTTTCAAAATATATTATTAAAAAACTTCCCAATTAGAAAATATCACAAATAAATCACGTATGTGAGAAAAGTTAGCTTATTTATTACATATATCATTAATGGAATAAATAATCTTGAATATATTTGCATATGAATTTAAATAAATTAAAATATATAAAATATATATGTCATGACCTTATATAATTTTATTTAAACCTAATATACAAATGCTCTAAAAAATTATTTTAGACTTTAACGCTTTCACGCTCTCGTACTCACTCCTGCTCGGTGTGACTTAGATTTCAACTGTAATTTAAAATAAATAAAAGTGGAAGTTGTAAACGAATGTGAAAAGGGACATTAGTTTCCTATTACATTAAAGGAAAAATACATTAAAAGAGAGCGAGAAAAATCTTAATCGTGTCTCTCCTTTTCACATATTTATCTCTCTCAACTTAAATCTACTGGAGCTCTAAAAACATCCTCCGAATGGCCATTATTCATGACATGGACAACTTAATGAGATCCTTCCTTTGGTCTGGCCCTTCCCTCAAGAAGACAGGCTGCAAAGTTGTTTGGGACCTTTGTTGTCTACCCAAGAGAGATGGAGGGCTTGGCATCCCTAATTTAGCATTGTGGAATGAGGCTGCAGTTATGAAACATTTTTGGAATATCATTTGCTCCAAGCAAATGCTATGGGCTAAGCGGATTAATCACTATTTGCTCAAAGGAAGAAACATTTGGGAAATCAAGACTCCAGGCCAATGCTCTTGGAGTTGGAGAAGACTTCTCCGCCTAAGATCAACAATCAAGCGTCTTGTCAAGCTTGAAATTGGTAATGGATCAACAACTAAATTCTGGTTTGACAACTGGTGTAGCCTTGGGCCACTCCACCTTTTCCTAAATCCTCAAAAGCTTACTCAAACTGGCTTTGATACCAAAACTAAGCTGAGTTCATTCATTATCAACTCCACTTAGATGTTTCCATCTGCCATCACCAACCTCTTTCCACAACTGCTGCAAGCTAATAACACTTCCATACCAAACCCACAAAACTGTGACAAAGTGAAATGGATACCATCTGCAACTGGAGCTTTTTCTATTGCTCACATTATGAAGCACTTCAACAACCACTTGCCAAGTCTTCCATGGACTCATCTTGTTTGGTCTAAGAGGTTTATCCCAAAGCACTCATTTACCCTTTGGGTGGCTATCCAGCAGAAATTATCCACACTGAACAGAATGTGTACATCTCATATCAATGCCACTTTAAGTAATTTGTGTAATTCTCATCCAGAGTCTCATGACCACTTGTTCTTCAAATGTTACTCCACAAAGCCTCTGTGGTCTTTTCTTCAAGCAAAATGAGGGTACTATATCCAACAATCATCATAGCAGAATCTTATTTCATTGGCATCCCAACACTAGAAATGCAGCAATGGTGTACACAGTAGCTCAATTGCAAAGTTAGCACTAACACCCCTTGTGTACAATTTATGGATGGAAAGCAACAGAAGGGTTTTCAAAAGGAAATTTCTAACCCAAAATGCTCTGCTTCATCAAATAGTGGATGGGATTAGGCTGAAACTTATGTCCTCTACATTCAAAGATTCACCAATCTCCAGGCATATCATCTACGAATAGGACCTCACAGCCTCTGTAATTCTACCGCTGGCAAAACCTCCAGATCATTCCTAATTTGGGGAGAAACTTCTCCTCCTGCACACTGTAGTGTTATATCCTGCATTAGATAATTGTCATTTGGTTGCTCTTGGAGCTTAGGTTTCCTTCAGGTTTCGAGCCTTGTAAGCTGGGTTGGTTTCCTTTAGTTTGCTTGGTGTCACGGACTTGAACCTTTCCAAGCTCCCGTGCGGCCTTAGACACTTTCAAGCCCCCTTGAAGCGCTAAGTCAGCCTACCCAAGTGTGCTAACTTAGTGAAGACTAAGGCTAGACAAGTGTTTTGCTTACTTGGGTGTGTAGGAAGAGATTAGGTAAGTGAGCAAGAAAGTTTGGGAATGTATAGAACTTATATTGCTTGAGAGGAGAAGATTACAACTTGGTTGCTTGGTGAGGAGCAAATGAACTCCCACCTCCTATTTATAGGCCTTTGGCCTTACAAGAACATTCTAAATGTATACAAATGTGTGGCCTAGATTGAGTGTCTAGAATCCTCCAAAGAAATATCTACACAATTCTAGAACTATGTACAATGTTCAAAACAAGTCTAGAGAATTCTAGACAACTCTAGACAAATCCAGAAAAGGCTAGACAACTCCACACTAATCTAGAGAATTCCGGAAAGTTCTATACTTGTGTAAAGAAGTCTGGAAAGTTCTAGTCCATACAGGCTCCATGTCATCGTCTGCTGGGCGTTTGCGTAGCGCCTGTGTGGCGTAACCTCTTGGTTGCGGGCGTGACATTCTCCCCCACCTAAGCTCGCAACGCCCTCGTCACGTCTTCTTGCTTGAACAGCTAGATATGCTCCGTGAACTGCCAAAGTGTATCCTCGTGCTCCCAACTCGCCTCGCTATCTGGCAAGTTCTTTTATTTCGCTAAATACTCTGTATACTTGGGCACACCTCTCCTGCTCATCACACGATCCGCAAGGATGCAATCAACTTCCTTGTCAAATGATATGACAACGGCCGTGGGTGCCCTTTGCGATATGCCCTGAGTAAGGTCTTTCGTGTCTTCATGATAAGGCTTGAGCATGCTGACATGGAAGACTGGATGTATCTTCAACTTGGGTGGAAGCTCCACCATGTAGGAGACCTTGCCCACCCGCTTGACAATGGGGAACAGGCCCTCGTACCTCCTTACTAGCCCCTTATGCACGCTCCAGAAGGACTTAAACTATTGGGGTAGTAACTTAATCATCACCTGGTCTCCCACTATGTACTCCACCAGCCTTCGTTTGGTGTCGGCCCACTTTTTCATCTTCTTTGCCGCTTTGTCAAGGTACACCCTGGCCAGGTCGGACTGCTCGTGCCACCCATTGGCAAATTTGTAGGCTGCCGGACTTTTACCATCGCAAGTTGAAGCAATGGCGTTGGGTGTCATAGGTTGGTGTCCGGTAACAACCTCAAATGAACTATGATTGGTAGCCTTACTTCGCTGCAAGTTGTAAGAAAACTGTGCCACCCCAAGGAGTTTGGCCCAATCTCGCTGATTAGCACTCACATAGTGCCTCAAATAAAGCTCCAGGAGAGCGATGATGCGCTCCGTCTGCCCATTTGATTGGGGGTGGAAACTCGTCGAGAAGTTAAGATCCATCCCCATCTTCTTGAAGAGCCCCATTCAAAATCTACCCGTGAAGCACAGGTCTTTGTCATTGACAATGTTTTGCGGAACTCTCCAAAGCTTGACCACATGGTCAACAAATAATTCTGCTGCCCTCTCTACCGTGCAATCTGCTGGTGCGGGTATGAAGGTGGCATACTTGCTAAACTGATCTACTACCACTATAATGCTCCTGCAACCTTTTGACTTGGGCAAGCAAGTGATGAAATCCATAGAGACACTCTCCCATGGTCTATCTAGAATAGGCAATGGCTCCAATAGGCTTGCAGGATGCTGTTGCTCAATCTTGTCTTGTTGGCACACAAGAGAAGTCCTCACATATGTCTCCACATCATCGCGCATCCAAGGCCAATAATATGAATCTTTAAGGAGTACTAGTGTGCATCGCATACCTGGGTAACTAGCCCATTTGGTGTCGTGGCACTCCCGTATTAACTCCTTTTGCAAGTTGCCCCACCTGGGCACAAAGATTCGGTCCCCTGTAGTGAGAAGTAAATCATCCCTTAGCCAAAAGCACCGAGTCTTCCCTTCCTTAGCCAGCTGAATAAGGCTTTTGGCTAGAGGGTCATGCTACAACCCCTCCTTGATCCACTCCATAAGAGGGTGCTAGGGCCGACTAATAGCTGCGAGCTCGACCTTGCGACTAAGTGCATCCGCCACAACATTGGCCTTGCCCGACTTGTATTCAAAATGATAAGTGAACTCCGCTAAGAAGTCCTACCATTGAGTTTGCTTGGGGCTAAGCTTCTTTTGTGTCTGGAAGTAGCTAATGGCAACATTATCCATTTTGATCACAAATTGTGCCCCGAGCAAGTAGTGCCTCCAAGTACGTAGGCAATGGATGACCGCCGTCATCTCTTTCTCCTGTACTGTATAGCGCTGCTCGGTGTCATTAAGCTTACATCTCTCATAAGCTATGGGGTGTTCTTCCGCATTAACATGCCCTCAATAGCAAAGTCTGATGCATCCGTATGCACCTCATATGGCTTGGAGTGGTCGAGCAAGCTAAGTACCGGCTCCTCTGTAACTGCCCTCTTCAAGTCATCAAATACCCCCTGGCATGACTCCGTCCAACTCCAAGCACGCACCTTTTTGAGAAGGTCTGTCAATGGGGCTGCTCTCGCCGAGTAACCCTTGATAAAGCGGCGGTAGTAGTTAACAAGCCTAAGAAATGAGTATAGCTCTGTCACCTTAGTAGGCGGCTCCCACTCTTGAATGGCCCTCACCTTTGCCTCATCTATCATCAGCTTGCCATCCCGTATCTTATGCCCTAGGAACAACACCTCTTCTTGGGCAAAGGAGCATTTCTCTATCTTCACATATAGGTCGTTCTCTCGTAGGACTTGGAAGACCGCCCTCGAGTGTTGCACGTGCTCCTCTAGAGTGGTGCTATACATAACAATATCATCTAAGTACACTACCACAAAGCAATCCAAGTAGGGATGGAAGAGCTTGTTCATCAAAGTACAAAAAGTAGCAAGTGCATTGGTGAGGCCAAACGGCATAACAAGAAACTCATAAGAGCCATACCTCATCACACATGTAGTCTTAGGCTTATCCTCGTCCGCTATCCGCACCTGGTAGTACCTCGAGCGCAAGTCTAGCTTAGTAAAGAAGCGTGCTCCACCAAGCTGATCAAAAAGATCGGCAATGAGAGGAATGGGGTACTTGTTTTTGATAGTCACCTTGTTGAGCGCCCGGTAGTCGATGCACATGCGCAAGGACCCGTCCTTCTTCTTTTGGAACAACACCGGTGCGCTATATGGGGCCTTCGAGGGTCGAATGTAGCCCGTATCTAATAGCTCCTTGAGTTGCCTCCGCAACTCCTCTAACTCTGGGGGTGCCATCCGGTAAGGCACTAAAGCAGGGGGTTTAAAACCCAGTTCTAGCTCAATCTTATGATCCACCTCTCTCCTAGGTGGAAGCTTCTTGGGTAGCTCCTTAGGCATCACGTCCATGTACTCATCTAGCACGGCTCGTACCTCCTTAGGTACCTCTTCTTGTGGGGAAGGGACTAGCTCATAATCGGGCATCTCCATCAACGTAGCAAGATAGCTAGTCTCCCCCTTCCTGAAGGCCTTCTTGAACTGCATGGCTGACAAGGCATGGGCTTCTAACTTAGCGCCTCACTCTACTGGAACCATGCATGCTGTGTTGCCTTCTATAATACACATAGTGTTAGCAAAAGGAATGGGGAAAGCTCTCACCTTGTCTAAGAACTCCAACCCAAAGACTAGTTTGAAGTCGTCCATGGGTACCACCGATAGATCTATGTGGCCGCCCCACTCGCCAATGCATGCTTGGACGCCGTGTGCCATGCCATGTATAGCCTTTGCTGCCAAGTTAACTGCCTTCATGGAGTCCCCTTCTTTGCTATACTTGAGGCCCAACCTCTTGGCCTCATCAAGGCTCACAAAGTTGTGGAATGCACCCGTGTCCACCAAAGCACGTGTGGGTGTCCCATTGATGCTCGCCTCCACGAACATTAGCCCCTTAGCCGCCACCTTAGGGACTTCAGTTTTAGCCTTGATGGCATTAAGGATTTGCAGTGAACCCATCTGCTCTTTCTGTTGCTGTTGTTGCTCCTCATAGTGGTTTGTCATGGCATTAAGGGTCTTCCTCTTAGGGCAATCCCTCACCCAATGTGGCCCGTCACATATGAAGCATGAGCCCTTAGGCTTGGGTGCTCCTTCCTTGTTCTCCCTTCCCTCTTTGCCACCATGGCCACCATCACCTGGCTTACAGGACCAATCCTTATGGGGTGTAGCGCCCTTGTCTCCCCCACCTTTGCCAGCATACCTCCCCTTATCCTTGTCTTTGTCTTTTGGCTTGGAGGAGGGTTCCTTCTTGGAGTTGAAATCAATAAAAGACTCCGCCTCTGCAATAGTTGTGGCAAGGTCTTGCACGTTGCACCGCCTCAACTCCGTCTTGGCCCACAACTGCAAACCATCCATGAAGAAGAAAAAAGAGTCCTTGTCGGATAGATTCGGGATCTCAAGAGTCAAATTAGTGAATTCCTTCACATAGTCCCGGATCGACCCAACCTGTTTTAGCCTTTGGAGTCTGCCCCTGGCTTCATCCTCGGTATTCTCAGGATAAAAATGCTTCTTAATTTCCCTTATAAAATCAGCCCAAGTATCAATAGAGACCGTACATTTGGCCATGTCACCATACTTTTTCTCTACCATAGCATGGCATGGTCGGTGAGGTAAAGGGTCGCCGTTTGTATCCTGATGGTCTCATCTGTCATGCCCGTAGCCTCAAAGTATTGCTCCATGCTGAAGAGGAAGTTCTCCAACTCCCTCGCTACCCGGTTCCCACCGTAGCACTTAGGCTTGGGAATATCAACTCGGGGTACTACTACCCCTATAGTAGCTATGCCGAACGCCACCGCCTATTTGGACAATGCCCAGTCCGCTCGCATTTCCTCCATTTGCTTGCGGAAAGTGCCAAGCTCCCGATCAACATAGCCACGTAGGGTGGCAAACTCGCCCAACATAACTTCTTGAAGTACTTGGAGCTCCTACCAAAAGTCACCATTTAAGGCATTGAGTGACCCTTTGACAGCATTCTGGACCTTAGCGTTCTCCGACTCTAGCCCATCCATGCGCTGGTGAGCATCCTTAAGCTGCTCCAACATGTTGGCTATGGACCCCTCCATGTTTGCCACACATGCCTCTAAGCCTGCCATGATGTCCTTCGACCTAGCCCTCGTCGTCACTCCGACTGGAGGGAGATTTGTTTCCCTTCCACGTAGATCCTCCTCTTGGGTGCCAATTACGTCTGATAACTCCGCCATAGCTTCCTACACACAAGGTGTGATGCCTCACGACCTTAGCTCTGATACCAACTGTCACAGACTTGAACCTTTCCAAGCTCCTGTGCAGCCTTAGACACTTTCAAGCCCCCTTGAAGTGCTAAGTCAGCCTACCTGAGTGTGCTAGCTTAGTGAAGACTAAGGCTAGACAAGTGTTTTGCTTACTTAGGTGTGTAGGAAGAGATTAGGTAAGTGAGCAAGAGAGTTTGGGAATGTATAGAACTTGTATTGCTTGAAAGGAGAAGATTACAACTTAGTTACTTGGTAAGGAGCAAATGAACTCCCACATCCTATTTATAGGCCTTTGGCCTTACAAGAACATTCTAGATGTATACAAATGTGTGGCCTAGATTGAGTGTCTAGTTTCCTTCAAAGAAATATCTACACAATTCTTGAACTATGTACAATGTTCAAGACAAGTCTAGAGAATTCTATACAACTCTAGACAAGTCCAGAAAAAGGCTAGACAACTCCACACTAATCTAGAGAATTTTGGAAAGTTCCATACTTGTGTAGAGAAGTCTGGAAAGCTCCGGTCCATGCAGATTCCATGTCATCGTCTGCGTGGCGCCTGCGTGGTGTAGCCTCTTGGTTGCGGGGCATGACACTGGGCTAACTATCAACATTTGTAATTTGGTCTTTATTTATAAAAATTTAACTTTACCTTTCAAAAAAAATTAAAAAAAAAAAGAAGGTATCTTAGCATAATTACCGAAGAAAAGGAAATAAAATAGATATCTCAAAACTCTACCACTTTTAAGATCCAAGGTCATGATAATCCAATAATAAAAACTTAAACCGATGATGAAAATCTACTCCTCCAATTCATTATTGTTATTTGTAACATCCAAAACTAAACATTCAATATAAACATAATCAATCATCCAAATTTTTTTTCTTGCTGAGTCCAAAAGGAACAAATCACAATTATAATCTCTTTCTTCCAATAACCTTTTACCTTTTTATTTTAATCCAAATATTTTTAGTTCTCTTGTTTTTTTTTTTTTTTTTTTAGCCTTTTTATTATTTGATTTTTTTCTTTATCACTTTTCTTTCTTATTGTAAAATTTCTCTTATCCGTTTATGATTTTTTTCTCTATCATTTGTTTTCTCTGTAAAATGTAAATACTTACTTAAAATCTCACTTTTTTTTCTTTTTTTTTTTTTATTTCAATGTGGAAGGTATAATTTTTTTCTTAACTAAATATCCTTTCCTATGGTTGTTAACATGGACCACATGGTATCAAATCTCACCCATTTCCCCAATAATTAAAATTAGTATCAGACCTCACCTCTTTCCTTAACAATTAAAATTGAAACATGTTGGGCCAAAATAATGCAACATACATTAGGGAAGGTCTCGATGGATTTAAATATTAAAATTACATCCTTTCCCTTAAACTCTTAGAATTGATGGGTTGTTAACAAAATATATTCACTAGTGATATCAAGAAAGTAAATGTTGTCTCACCAAAGGTAAACTTAGATATCCTTAGCATGTTAGTGGGGTCCACTATTTTTTTTTTTTTTTTTTTGGGTTAAGTGCTCTCACATCCTCTGAGTTTCAATTTATTGCTCACATATTAAACCTAAGCAAAAGTTGCTAATACACTCCTTAAGGTTTGATTTAATTAACTCTCACATCCCCTCTTTTTAAAATTGTAAAATAAAATACCTAAATTACCCTCTATTATTTCAAATACATTATTATTCTTAAAAATTGTTAGACCTTTTTACCCTCCACTCGTTTCCTCTCTTTCTTATGCACTTCTCCTATGACGGATTCATCACCAGTCCTCTCACAAATCAATACCGGAGAGTACATGATTAAAAGAGGACCAAACTAGGTAACAAGTTCTTTGAGCTTGGAATCTTCAAGTTCTTGATGTGTTGAAGACTCATTGGATTGAAAGAAAAAGAAAAAAAAAAACCAGATGAACACAGGAGTTAAAAGGAGAGAAAGTGAAGGAAAATGAAGGAAAAGTCCAAGAAACCAATGTGTTTTCCCTTTATCAATAATACAATGCCGTAAACAGAAGCCTTGAGACTGAAAGAAGCAAAATAATGACCAGAAAACAACCGGGTTTCTCTCAAAATCCTCTCCCAGAGAGAAGCTCTTTAGAAAATCAGTAAACAAATGAATTAGAAGATTTCAATTTTTTCATTCTCTCTCTCAAATCTTTTGATGGTTTGCTCAAAGAGAAGGAATGGAGAGACGAAAGAGATGAAAGAGGAGATCACGACCATGGGGATGACCGATGATCACAATTCACGACTTCTACAATCGCCACATCCATTGTTTTGTTCAAGATCCATCTCTATCATTTGTCTCCAGCAATTGTACGTGCCACCGATGACGACGAGAGTCTGTCTTTGATGCACGAGGATTGAGGATTTTGCTCAAAAAAGGATAAGATGCTGACGTCAACTGCTATCCTTACCTAATTCCAAAAAAATGAATGCAAAATTACCAATTCAAAAGCGGAAGGAAAAAAAAAAATACAGTTCTGAAGAACACTAATCGGTCCCCAAGTAGCAAGGACTAAAATATCAGAAAAGAGCACCGAATGATTTTATTGTAAAATTAAATACAGATCAAGTTAAAATTCACATACATTTCTCACTAAATTTAGCACAATTGATTACTCACTTCATGAATTTCATTTGTTAATTCTAATTCCAACTCATTACAGTACCAACAACAGCAGCAAAATTAGTCAAATCGCATAGTGTCCATTAAACAATCAACGTGTGTGTATATATGCGTGTATTTGTATGAATTTGTATATGAATAACATATCTATATACAAGGTATTACGTACCTTTGATGGGACGATGACTGGATTTATGCTTAGAGAGGCCCTAAATCGGTTGTAGCAGCGGCTGCTGGTGTTCGACGACGTTGTGGATCTTGTGAGGTGTGGGCACGCCGTTAAACGATGGATGGGTCCGGGTCTGGCCGGGTTTCTTCTTGCTCAATCCAATCACTTCACCGTCATCATCATCGTCGGCAACAACATATGGTTCGCCTCTGTCAGCCAACCCACCGCCAGAACAGTCATCGAACCCCACCATCCTTGTCGCCCCTGCCAACTCGCCGACCAACTCTCTGGTCCTCACACCCAACCAATCTCTGGTCCTTCACTTCACCGGACATCGAGAAATCCCCATGGTTACCGTTCTGAAACTCATCTTGAAATCCCCATGGTCTTTGGTCCTCCACTCTTCTCTGACATTTTCTTCTTCTATTAGGACGTCGCCTCCTTTGGCAGCTGTCTTCTTCTCTCGGCCTTGGAAGCCATTTTAGAGAACGGTGAAGTTTCATAACAGTAGAGTAGAGGTGGTAATATTGTCATTTCACATTTTGTTTATACACATCAGCAACATATTTTTCATGGTTAAATAAAGTCAATGATATAATAATAAACTCACATTTTTAGTACTTTAAAAAGGGGTGTGAAAGCAAAATTGGATGAGATTTAATACAATAGCAATAAACTGAAACGAGTGTTAGATCATTTAACCCTAGTATAGTAGTGATTTTTTCTTTTTGGAATTATATATTATGAAATTTTAATATTGCACCACTAAAATTACAATATATATATATATATATATATATAGAACATGAAAAATGCCAGTTACTCATTAGTAAAGCAATCAAGAAACATAAAGATCGTGGATCCAATTTTATTCACATAGTATTAGTCCAAGTGGCCATTAATCCATTCGGTGGTGCTGGTCTTAATGCCTCAGTTCTTTTAGCTCTTCGTGATGCTAGATTCCTAGAATATGATGATAGTCTCCTAGGAATAGTCCAAACCAGTCTCTGTAATGGTCCAGTTCATTTTAATTGCTACCTTGATCTAACCTTCAGTTTAATCGATCCTCACTTATTAAAAGCATTAACCCTTAACATTAAAACTTCTGGTTACAAAATGCACCCTGGTTCACAACCTCTAGGTCTTATCTACCGAATTTATTATAAGACAAGAGGAACAAATCTCAACATTAAAGCAATAAAAAAGGATGCTAAGGGCCATACTCTATTAATTGAAAGTAGTTCTGCTGATGCTAATATTCAACTCAAGAAAACTATTGCTTGGAAATATATTTCTTTACCAAATGAGTGGTTTCTTGAGAATGAAAATCATCCATTAAAAATACAAAATGATATCTACAATCTTGATAGAATCTAAGAATATATTGACGGAACAGTTAGAATAGGCTTTGATGAACAACGCCTTCTGACTCATTCTCGTCCTTCTACTTCCTCCAGACTAGATCCTGACAAAGATAATAACTCAGTCCCTCCTCTTGAAAGAAAAAATTCAAGACTTAATCCTCAGTTCAAAGATCTTAAGTTAAAAGGTATTCACATTGAAGAACAAATTAGTCATCCTTGTTATGAGCAGACTCTTCCAGCTAAGTCTCAATCTGCACCTAATTCACCTTCCCCTTCAGATTTCATTGGTAACATCAACCTAGTAGACCCTTCGTTAAACACCATAAGTAAACTTTTTAAATATAATCTCCCCAAGTTACAAGATGAATATTCCTCTCAGCAAAACAAAGAAAAAAGAAAAAATTTTCAGAAAACTCATACTGAGAAAGAACAACAAAGAATCCTCCGTCATTGGCAGAAATTTATGATAGAGCATCAACTAGAAATCAAAATTTTTGATTATCTAGAAAACTGTTATAATCAAGTCAATGTATTAACTAAAGTCAAGTGGAAAAAACCAGATAAATCAACAGTTTCCTCCTCCCATCCTCCACTAGACTCCTTGGTTATAGATCACATGGGAACATAAAACCCAGCCTCTCCTTTAAAAGTTACTACCACAGTCATTGATAATGACACAAGGAAAGTCATTGAACAAAATAATTTTACCAACCAATATTTACATACTATTGGGACTCAACTAGATAAAATTGAAATTTCCCTTAATAAGCCTCCCATTCCACCTGTTATCTCTACCCCACTTAAGTCACCAATTATTTCTATGCCTACACAGCGAAAAGGCCTTCCCAAAACCCTTCCTGATCCTTCTGTCATTCTCCAGATTGAGACTTTTCTCAAAACCATGGAGAAAGGCAAAGCCATTAAAGAAGATAAAACACTCATTGTCATCAATAATACTGATGATTCTGATAGTTTTTCTTTCACCTCTAATTACCCCTCTGATATTCAACAACTTGAACATGCTTTTTCTAATCTAGAGATTAATCGATTAGTCAATAAATGTGTCAACCCAACTAGTCTTACCAAAAATTGGTATCCTAGGCCAACACCCCCTGATCTTCAATATGAAGAAAGAAATATTCAAAATCAATTTTCTGTATCCTCTGATAAACTCTATGAATGGAATATAGATGGTTTATCAGAATAGGAAATTCTAAATAAACTCAGTCATATTTTCATGGTGGCTAATAATTATGTTACCTCACATAATCTTAGTCAACCCGAAATAGTTGATCTGCTGGCTTCAGGATTTTCAGGGATGTTAAAATCTTGGTGGGAGAAACATCTAACTGAAGATTCTCGAACACAAATCAAAAATGCTATTCAAAAAGACAATGATGGTCTTCCCATTTTTTATGAAGCCATAGGTCATGCTATTCCTGATGGAGTCAAGACTCTTGTTTATACCATAGTTGATCATTTTATAGGTACTCCCAGTAACATCACCTCTAGAATACATGACCAGCTTACCAATCTCTCTTGTCCAACCATGAGTGATTTTAGATGGTATAAAGATGTATTCTTATCCAGAGTCATGATGAGAGATGATAGTAACAAACCATTCTGGAAAGAAAAATTCATTAATGGATTACCTAATCTCTTTGCCCATAAGATTCGAGATACTCTTAGTAAAGCCACAGGTAACATTGATTATGATAACCTCACATATGGCAATATCATCAGCTTAATCCAAAAGGAAGGATTAAGGATGTGTATTGATATGAAAATTAGTAACCAGTTACAGGATGATAGAAAATGAGCTAAATATGAAATGGGAACCTTTTGTGAACAATATGGTTTTCCACCCATATCTCTCTCTCGACAACACCCCAAGTCACAAAAAAAGAGTTACAAAAGTTACCATAGGAATTACAAAAATAAAAAACCAGTCTTTCCAAAAAATGAATATTATTCTCAAAAGCCTAAACCTAAAAAGAAATTTAGGAAAAAGGATTTTAAGAAAAAGAATACCCCTGCCACAAATGATAAATGCTACAAATGTGGTCGTCAAGGTCACTTTGCAAAAGACTGTTATGCAAATACCAAGATCAATCAGTTACAAATCCCTAGTGAAATTAAAAAATCCATTTACCAAATTCTCCAGTTAAAAGACACCGATGATAGCAGTAGTGATCTAGAAGTTGGTTCCTCTTCCCAGTCATCTGATGCTTCTCCTAGTTCTCCCAATATTACCCTAGGATGTAAAGATAGTTGCTGCAATCCTAGTAAGTCGCTTAATGATCTTACAAAAAATGATGAACAAGAACATCTACTCATTGATCTAATCAGTAAGGTAGATGACCCTGAGTTAAAAACCTTATATCTTAAAAAACTTAAGGTATTATTAGGTAACTTAGAACCTGAAGCCCCAACAATTAGTAAGCCCAATTTTAGTCTATATAAAACTTTAGAAATGTTTAATAACAAACCTAAAGAAGTCACTATCCAAGATCTGCAAACAGAAATTAACATAATAAAATTTGAGATTAAAAATCTCAAGACAGATCACCAAGTTACCAAAAATGATATTCAGGAATTAAAGCAAAATCCTGCTTTTTCTTTTATCGGAAAAGAATCTTCTGAATCCTCTGATGAGGAAACTTCTACTCATTCAGCAGAATCAAAACATTCAAACCCCTTTGGTTCTGAATCCTCTAATAAACTCCAAACTTTAAATCACATTTCATTCCAGAAATGGTATACTAAAGTTACCCTTATCATCAACAAAGATTTCAAACTTGAAGTCGTTGCTTTGGTTGATACAGGAGCTGATCTTAATTGCATTCAGGAAGGTCTCATACCAACTAAATACTATGAGAAAACCTCTGAAAGGCTAAGCTCAGCTAATGGTAGTAAAATGGACATAAAATACAAGCTTTCTAAAGCTCATATTTGCCAAAACAATGTATGTTTTAAGACATCATTTATCTTGGTAAAAAATATGACTGATAAGCTAATATTAGGTGTTCCATTCATCTACCTCCTCTACCCATTCAGCACTGATAATGATGGATTAGTCACTCAACCCTTTGGACACAAAGTTCAGTTTAAGTTCCTGAGTCCTCCTTCCAAGAAAGAATTGAAATCAGTAATAGATTCCTCTGTGTCCAAATCAATAAATCTACTTCAAAGTAAGACTTAACAGTTAGGTTTTTTAAAAGAATAAGTCAATTACAAAAGAATTGATGTTCAGTTAACTGATCCAGTTCTTCAAACAAAAATTCAAGATTTTGAACAACAAATTAAAAATACAGTTTGTTCTGATCTGCCCACTGCTTTTTGGCATAGAAAAAGACATTATGTGAAGTTCCCTTACATTAAAGGGTTTAAGAGAAGGCACATTCCCACTAAAGCAAGGCCTATCCAAATGAGCCCTGAAGTCATGGAATTCTGTAAAAAAGAAATTAATGATCTTCTACATAAGAAGATTATTAAAAAGTGTAAGTCACCCTGGTCATGCCCAGCTTTCTATGTTTAGAAAAATTCTGAATTAGAAAGAGGTGTTTCTCGCCTAGTTATCAATTACAAACCACTAAATAAGGTCTTAGAATGGATTAGGTATCCCATTCCCAATAAAAAAAAGATCTTATTAGTCGCCTCAGTCAAGCAGTAATTTTCTCAAAATTTGATATGAAGTCAAGATTTTGGCAGATTCGTCTCCGAAAGAACGATAGATACAAAACTACCTTCACTACTCCCTTTGGTCATTATGAATGGAAAGTAATACCCTTTGGATTAAAAAATGCTCCTAGTGAATTTCAAAATATCATGAATGATATTTTCAATCCTTATAGTCACTTTTCCATTGTTTATATTGATGATGTTCTTATCTACTCCAAGTCAACTGATGAACACTGGAAACATTTGAAATCGTTTCTAACAACAATTCAAAAGAATGGTCTAGTTGTTTCTGCTACAAAAATCAAATTATTCCAAACCAATATTAGGTTTCTTGGTTACCATATCCATCAAGGCCAAATCCGTCCCATTGATAGGTCTCTTCAATTTGCTGATAAATTCCCAAATCAAATTTTAGAGAAGTC